GTAAGCAGAACAGGGCAACAGTGCCAGAGAAGAAAAGACAAGAAACCAGATTCAGACCACCCCCCACCAGGACCACATACCCATGACTCACTCATCATCCCTGGGAGGGTGCTCCACCAACCCCTGGGGCAGATCCCAAAGCTAGACAAGTTTAAACTTCATCTTAATCATTACATATTCAGGGTTAAAATTTAATTTGGATTAAAATGTCAGCACTAAATGTCAAATAATTCATATTTTTAAATGGATAAAAATGGGTAATGAAAAAAAATCACTACAATGTAATAAATATATTATTATTTGTTTTAATTATGCATGTAAATGAATATTTGATATTTAACCCAATTAGAATATTCATTAAAGCCAATAATATCTCATATTTTCTTAGTGCAGCCAGTGTACATATGATAATGTTGCTTTATGTGTAATGTTCATTTAAACAGATGTTGCTTATTTATATCAATAGTTAAATTTTTACCATATGATATAGCAGGAAGTAGAACATTAAATCCTTTGGCACAAAATATTGCTTACAATATTTTTAAAGGGATAAAAACATAAGGAAAAAAACAAATCTCTATCAGATTATGAATATACTTACAGAATCTAATAATTTCACTGTAATTATTTTTCATTTCAAGTATTAGGGAGACCTGAGCCATCTCTCTGGCTCTCTTGTAAGTCAATATTTGTCTTAGAGAGAAGAAATTTTACTGTTATTCAGGGAGAGAAAGATTTTATGTTTCTTTAATAATATCTGTCTTCTTAAGGATCGTGAATTACTAATACTTACTTCAAACAGAGTGCATTCTTTTTAATACATGATGTTTAGAGAAAATGATCTTTAAATAAAGGTGTGAACAATAAAAGTTCTATTTCTAATTTTTTAACTCTGCTGCCTAAATAGAGGTTGTTGTAGAAATTCCGATATAATACAGTGTTACTTACCTATATACTGATGGGTTCTAAATGTATGTATTGTTTCTTTAGATTCAATGATTAGACCCAATCTGTTTGTACCCTAAATTTAACATGGAAAATAAAATGTTTTCATAGGTTTCTCCAACTTGTAAGTCCTGCAGGCACTCTTCCCAAAGAAGTACTTATCTTTTAGAGTCAACCATTACATCTTGCCTTGGCCTTTATCTACTCTGAGAGTTAAGGTCTTAGGTAAATGAACTAAAGAAAAGGAGGTGAGTGCAATGTAAATGGGGCAAAAGATAGAAGAGACAGCAGTGAAACTATGATGGACACTGTTCTGTAAACTATGGAGGTGTGAGGCAAAGCTTCTTGCTTGCCTTTGGAGCTAGGAATCATGGAAAAATAATTTCTGGAGAGTTGCAAGGACACCTAGTCTGTTCTTGTAGAGTAGGAGCAAGCAGCTACTGGACAAAGCAAGGCCACGATACAACTACAACCCTCTTCAGAAGAAAGTAGCTAGAAGTTTTCACCCTTTGGCCCCTCACAGCACTTAGGGGTTCTCCTTTAGAAGAGGGAATATTGTAAATAGGTAAGTTAATTAGATATCTTGTAGGCAGTTAGACATGGATGGTCCTTGAGGAGCCAACATGGAGGACAATCAAGACACATTCACTGAAAGCTAGCATTGTAGAAGAGAAAGTACCACACCCATATAGCATAGCATGAATAGCAGTGATTGATATTCTAAGTAGATATCAATCGTCTGAGGGGGGTGACCAAGATCTGACCCATCCCTTACCACCAAAAATGCTTGCTCATTCCTCGTATGCTTGCTGCATGACTTGTTTCCCCATTGGATTCCCATTTAATCAATATTACCTAAGTGACTATACTTGTCATAATCTTATTGGTTATTCACAGTTTTGCCCACCTTGTGATTTCTCATTGGATCAGTTTTACCTAAATGACCATACTTGCAATCTTACTAGTTGACTATAGTTTTCTCCCACCTTGACATGCCTCACCTCATGGCTTTGTCCCATAAAACATCTTTGAGAAGTTGAGTGAGTGGGGTCCCCCTTCTGTCTCTCTTAAACAGAACCATCTTTCTTTCAATAGACTTTTCCTATTCTTAAAAAACAAAACAAGGCCATGATAGGTGTCCGGACAGCTAGGGTTCAAAGAACAGTGGCAGGTAATGTTAACAGTGGCATGCAAAAAAAGCAGAGTTATTTGCTGATATCTCATGTTTTTCTACCCATGTCACAAAGATTAAGAAATACCATTTAGAAATAAAAAAGCTTTTCTCCAATGAAGCTGTATATTTCATTCCTCCTACAAGTCATTCTTACTGTGTTTATTTATGTCTGCAGAGTATGCATAATTTTTCTATGTGCAAAGATGCTGTGAGTATATTAGACTATTGACTTCATCAAAAATATGAGTTAAGGCTGGAGATTTAACTCAGTGGTTCTGTGCCTGCCTCGCAAGTGCAAGGTCCAGAGTTTGATCCCTGGTACCAAAAAGAAAAAAAAATTTAAAATGAAAGAATAAGCAGTGTTGATATTTATTCAGAAATATGATAAATGTGCAACTATGGTGTGAGTTAAAGGAGGATTTACTTCTGATTTGGGGGAATTTGCCCATGTGTTTGACATTTGAAGTATGAGTAGGAGAATTTAAGAAATAATACAATGAAATAAGCTTATTGAATTTTATCTGTTTTTAAAATGTCAGAATTGCTTTGTAAGTAAATCACTTGACATTGCAGCATTTTAAAAAGATTAACCATGCCTTTGCTTTGCAGTTTAAAAAAATTTTAATTTTCTTCTTTGTTGTCTCACACTTTATTAGGGACTGAAGCATAAGAAAAAGATATGAGAACTAGTTAGCTCTAAAGGTGACCTGACATCTAGGCATTGGATGCTTCATTGAATGTCTCCGTTATCAGCACACAAGCAGCAAATGAATGTCTACTGCTTTCCAAATATGTTAGGGTTTAGTTGTCAGCATTCTGTCTCAAAGGGTTGGTTGGTAAAAATACATCAGGAAGAGCATTATTATTCTAATGTAGATTTTGATCCCTGAGAGTGATGTGGCAGTGAGGACTCATAAACACTCTTCTCTTCTCTCCTACCGGAATTTTAAAAAATAAGGAAGGAAGGGTCTGTGTTGCATGTTCCCAGGTATCAGATGGTATATAAGGTAATAGTCGTATCGATGCATTTTGACTAATAAAACACACTGACAAGATGCAGTGACCAATGGAAATAAACACTGCTGTGACAAAAACTGATTGATGACACATGCAGGTTTGTAAGTAGGGTGGGATCCTGATGCCTGACTGTTGCATTATTATTTTTTTGGTGAACAAATACCTGCTGAGCATGGGCTTCTATCAGACTTGGTTTCTAGGCACTGGAATTCAGTGGTAAACAGAGTCCCTGCATCCATATGGTTTTGACTGTGGATGAGCATTCTCACTGCAAATTAGCAATCAGATTCACAAATAAATAAATGATTCGAGTACTAGGGGTTCAAGGCATCCCCATTCTTCTGCCTGATTTATCTGATACAGGCAAATAACTTTGTTCTTGCTTAGTTCTGTGCTTTGGACAAATGTCCACTTCACCACTGGAGCAAAACACGATCACAGTCAATACAACCTATATAGTGGACAGAGGATGCGCTAGGAAGTGTATATGTGTATGCATCACTTATAACACTTTTTCTTTTCATCTAAAGGTTCCCATCATATTTCCTCTAACTTGATTAATGAATCATTTATTTCCCAGAAAATTGCTTTTTTTGACAAGTAAAATATTAGCAGGGAACATTTTTTTGTGTGGGACTTTTGAAAACCCTTGCTTCACTTCTTCTACTCCAGAGAGTGATGGGGAGGATCTGGTCACGTCAGTCACCCCTGTCTTCCCTTCTCTACCGGTAGGGGGCAACACTCTGTTCTTCTCCAAAATTTCCAGGGTTTCCTTCAATGTGATAAAATGGCCTAGGAAGATAAGTATTTAAAATCTGGTATTGCTAACATGCCAAGACTGCTTTCTCCAGTTACAACTTTATTAAGACTAAGGCTGACATTTGTGTTCTTCATTTCCTGGGCTCCAGTATCTCAATTCATTTAGAAACGGGCAACCAATAAAATGAGTATTATTTGTTTGGCCCCTTAAAATACAAACACTGAGAACCTGCCCTGGGTTATCTTAGAATCCATGTGAAGGTTTGAGGATCATTCAGTGCCTAAGGGAGAATTTTTCCCCATCTGTCACATAATGACAGCGGGGGGGGAGGAAAGGGGGAGAGAAAGAGGAAGAAGAGAGAGAGAGAGAGAGAGAGTCCTCATTGATCTCATGAACACAGAATTCTTAGTTCTTTCCAAACAGTGAGGTTGCTTGCTTTTATTTCCCACTGAGTTGAGAACTACAATTTATTTTTATTTTGATCTGGACTTAATACATTGACCTGAAATTCTTTCATGTCTTTGTGGTCATTTTCTCTTTCCAAGTTCCACATTCTTCTTTCCAGTTATCTTTCTCATTATGGACAGATGCCTCCTCTAATTTACATAATTCAGTCTGTTCTAATTCTTCCTTTGTTTTTCTCCCATCATCTCTCTCATCTTCCATTTTTAGTGGTCTTCTAGGAACCAGATGATCTTTCTTTAACAATTCTGTACATCTGTGCAGGTTCCCCAGCTGTTACTCATACATTTCTTCATTCATTCTCAGGAAAACATCCTTAATCTAACACACTGTGCATTTATGTGGATCATTTCCTTTAAAATGGATCCATATTTTTTTCTAAAGGCTTCCCTTAGGTAAATTTCCTCCAGTCCCAGCTGTATTATGGACACTGCTGCTTTTACTGTCTTTTTTCTTAAACCAGTTACTCATTAATTTTCATATTCACTCTTTTATTGGACAGATCCACACTGAACACCTCATACATTTTAAGTAATGTGCATGCTTCTGAGGGAAATAATCACAAAGAGCTTATATTGTAGAACTTCCTGTTCATAATGCAGCACACTAGTTTGCTGAATGGACCATGTCTTTCTTTTGCAGAATCTTGAGATTATTTCATTGAAACCTAAGAGGTAAGCTGAATTGAATATACATATTGCATAATTAAGAGCTAATCAATTTCCTTTTTAAATATTGTAGAAAAATACACTATAAAACTATTTTCATTATTTTTAATGTATAGCTCAAAAGATTAATTATTTCACATAATTGTGAAACTGTTTTCTAGAACTTTATTATCTTGGAAAAGTGAAACTAAGTGTGCTAAGGAGTAAATCTCACTTCCCACTCTTCCCACTGTCTGACAACCATGATCTTACTTGTTTTTTTAGGAGACTGACTACCTTAGATACCTCATCTAAATTGAATCATACTATATTTGTCTTTCTGTCATACTTAATGTACTGTTCTCAGGGTTCATTTACGTTATAGTCTGACAAGATTTCATTCTTTTTATGGCTGGATGATATATTACTGTATATGTGTGCTACATTTTTGTTATCCACTTGTGTGTTGATGGACATTGGGCTGCTTCTCCTTCTTGTCTATAATGAATAATACTGAAATGAAAATGGGTTTGCTGTTTGAGATATTTGTTGAGATTTTGTTTTCATCTCTTTCAGATATAGATCCAAAAAATGAGAGAAGTGGCCCAGATGGATGTCCTATTTTTAATGTTTTGAGGATCTTCCCTATTCTTTATCATACCAACTGCATCGTTATATATTCCCACCAACAATGAAGAAGGGCTCCACAAGTTAAGTTGTTTCTTAAGATCTGTGACTTGTGCCTTGTAACTAGGATCACATTTGACCACTTTTAGGATGAACTTTGAGCTTGGTTTTGTTTCCTCCTCCACGTGGGAGTAGACCCTGCTGTCCCACCAGGGCAGATGTGGCAGAATGCCCTGGGAGGATCAGAGACATGGGATCTTGTGCTAGCAGCTGGTAGGCCCCCTGGAGCTGAGTTGTGCTTTAACTTACCTAGAAATAGCCCCATGCCATCTGGGGGCCCAAGCAGTTACATCAATGTTATTCTGCCAAACAGGGATGGGATCTCTTCTGTGTACTCTGCCCAAAGAAGCAGATACAAGAGTCACATTCTTTCCCACATGTTATTATCAATAATGTTATCAGCTGCACCCAGATTTGCCCAGCTGGGTCATCTTCCATTCTCTTGTAATCTTACAAACATATTAACAAACTGAAATAAGGCCTGACATTGCAATAAGGCTATTTACATCTTGGTCCATGAGATTTTACTAATATTATCTAACTAGAGTTTCTTTACATGCTTTATTAATCTATGGAAATCTATGTCCAAGAAAGATATTCTTAAAATCTCCCCTATCCATTTCCAGGAAGCAAACTGACTACCTGACTTATGCAGAATTTTGGCCCCTATGATGAAACCTTCCTATCCCCTTGGGGTTTTGTTTATACCTATGTCACATGACGTGGCAAAAGTAAATGAAGAATGAAGATAGAAACATAATTTCTAGTAAACTAACCTTAAAATTGGAATCTTGTCCTGAATTATCTGTGTGGTCCTGATATAATCCCATGGCCCTTTGGAAGAGGAAGACAGAAGAGTCAGTCATAGAGATGCAAGAATGAAAGAACAGGAAGAGAAATTGGAGATGAGAAAGAAGCTTGAGCACTGTTGCTGCCTTTGAAAATGGGGGAAAGGGTCCATAAGTCATCGACTGTAGCTGCCTATAGTCCTGGGAATGGGCTTCAGCAGACAGCCAGAATGGATGTGAGACCTTGATCCTATAACAGAACAGGACTGAATCTCAACAACAATTTAAGTGAGCAAAGAAACACATTGCTTGTCCTAGATCCTTGAAATCTAGGATTCCCTTTCAATTCCTTGATTTTGCCATAGTGAGAATCATGCAGGATTTCTTATGTACAGAACTATAACATAATAAATCAGTTGTATGTTAAAGTGATGCATTTGTGTTATTTTTCATAACAGCAATAAAAATCAATATACTTCTTCATCACATTATTTTAGGAATTAAATGGGGAAATATTAGCAAAGCACCGTTTTGTCAATAGCAAGTGCCCAATCTTCTTTTGCAAGTACACTCACATTTCTGTTGCTTTGAATTTATTAACTCTATTTCTTTAACATATCTGGTCAAGTTTTATTTATTTCAATTGGATTGAAATATTTCTTAGGACCTGTATTTCTTAGGACCTAAAATGTTCAATGGCAACACTTTATTGACTAGAAAATATCAGTGGAATGTTTTCACCAAAATGAATTAACTTTGCTACTTATCTGATAGTGACCATGAAATTGGCTGTTGAGAAACATCCTAATTTTATTTTATTTTTTCTCAATGCTGGGAATTAAAAACAGGACATGGTATAAGTTGGACAAGCATTCTACCATGAAGCTGTACTTCTCGCCCTGCGTCTCATTTTGAAAAAAATGAACAGTAACGATAAGAATCACAGTACACTGTCAGAACAGGGAATGTGTTTCCAAGAGAGGAAACATGCTATCGGGGCAAGATTGGGTCCCCCTTTTTTATAAGTAGATGTTTGTGATATATAATAAATATATTCATCATAGATATATTTCTTGTTGTTTTTGTTGCTTTTTTTGAGAAAGAGTCTCACTGTGTAGTTCATGCAGGCCTTGGCTGACTGTGTAGCCTGGGGTGGCCTCAAACTGTGGCAATCCTCCTACCCCAGCTTCCCAAATGCTAGGATTAGAGGCATGTGCCCTCACATTAAGCTCACATATTGCACCCTAATCCTTTTTATTTTCCCTTCTCTTCTCCTCCCACCTATCTCCCCGCATCCTCAGGTCCCTTTTCTGTCTTAATGTTATAAAAGGTAAAGTGTGGGTTAGTTTATTCCTAGGTAATGGAAACAAGCTGCATTAATAGAATGAAATACTCAGTCACAATTTGCAACCCCCCCCATAAAATGACTAAATCAAATAAGGACCAATGATAAAATATCGAAACCAATAGTGATGTCCTTTGAACAGAATATTGCCATGAGTTCCATTGCATTGTGTCCCAGTGTATTTGATAATTATAATGGAGAAAAGTATTTTTACAGTGGATCTCTTTGGTAGTAGTAGCCATTTCAGTACAGTGATCCAGCTTAGCAAATAATGGAACAAACTTATATTACCTTATAATGATTTTAAATGTAGTGCACAATTTTGTGACATATTCTTACTGAAATCAGATTACAAGAAATAATGGTATGATTTAAGTATACTACAAGGGAACATTTAGAAAAAATTTAGAATGGGGGATGTTCTTTAAGACAAGAAACTGGTCTGGATAGATTCATCATCGTGAAAAAGAAAGGATACTTTATATTAAAAGATATATCACAAGCACAAAGATGAGAGTTTGATCCCTAGTATGAAAAAAAGATAGTCACGTGTAATATGTGATCTTCAATTGAGTTCCTGATTTTTAAAAATCATCTTTAATAGCTATTTTGGAATAATTAGGGAAATTATGGAATAATTAGGGAAGTGTAGATTTTATAATAGATATCTTTAGAGAGTTGTTAGTTTTCCTAGATGAGAAAATGGTATTAATGGTCTATACAAAAATGTCCTGAATTGGGGAAATTCATGCTAACATATTAAGACTGTAGTGACATTATGTCCACAATTTGGTTTCAAATGATTTAGCAAACATAATAACACACATCATACATGGAGCAAATTATTAACAATTACTGACTCGGGAGTAAGGTTTACAATACATTAGTCTTTCAACTTTTCATCTTGAGGTTTTCATAATATAAAATTGGGTGGAATGTGAATATTCACAGGATGACTATATATATATCTTCATTTAAGAACACCTTCCTGAATCAGTAATCAACTTTGTAAAGTTCAAGAAAGTCCTGTCTAGAAACTCGCGACTTGACAAATTTATCCACCTAGGCAATATAAAGTCATTGAACCAGTGGTATGAAGATACCTCTTTTGGTCACATCATAGAGAAACAAGGCCTATTGTCAACAGAGCAGCTCTAGTCAGAGCATAGCTAGGTAGATCTCCATCTGATGGAATATCCTTGGTAAGAGGAACTCCTAGAAATATGGAAACAGAAATGAGAACATGGGGGAGGTTCTTACAGACTGGCTTATGGCAGAAACAGGCTGAGCTGCTACAGGTCATGTTATAGCTACCTCTTAGGACAGAATTTAAGCTACCTGGTCTAGGAAAGAGATGGGACCCTGTGAAGCCCACCTGGATCCAGGAAGCATAGTGATGACTGCACCAACTCTCAGCTGCAGAAATCAGGAGTAGATGCCAACTCAGATCTTCAAGAGTCTTTCTACCAGGAAATGATGGAAAGCTTGCCACCTGTTAACCCTATTCATTTCTGACCTTGAATCCAATACATGAACTTCTCTAAGGTATTATTGAAAAACATTTGATTCCAGACATGACTGTTAGAAATAAAACTGACAGGGCTATAAAGTACTGATGTTGATCCACAGAAGTTATTTTGCAGATCAAAGACCACCGAAGTCTTTTTAGATGAGGAATGGGGCACTGGAAGGATAAATACAAATTTTACAGTCAAAGGAGGGTGGAAAGAACATTACAGCCAAGGGAACAGGATGTTCATGAAAGCTGATGTTTTCTTTAGAGGCTTGGACTGCATGAAGAGAGGGATGTGCAGGAATGAGTCTAGTTTAAGCCAGTTCACAAAGGATCTTGCATATACACCAATACAGAAGTTCTTATACCTGACTTAGTTTTTCAGGAAGAATTTCTGTAACTTGATGTTTTATTTTATGAAAGAATAAAACAAAAATTTCTAACAAAATGAGAATAACAATAGCCAATAAACTGTGTATCACTATCTTCAAAACATCCACTCAGAGAATAAAAAGATTCTCTCTTACAAAAAAGAAACAAACACGATATCACGAAGCTTTCTTGTCAATGAACTAAGAGTAACTAATAGTATAAATGAAATACATTAGAATATATATTAAAATATCTTTAATATAGCAAAATAGGGAATTATTTGAACTTCTCTTTACTTCCTATTTATCCATCTTCTATTTTGTACTTTGTGTATACACACACACACACACACACACACATATATCATTTTCTCATATAAAAGAAACCATGAAATATTTAAGCATGAAAGTCTGCCTTATTTCAACTAACATTATATTCTCAAGTTGGAAAAATTTATCTACAGATGTTTCAAGGTTATCTTTCTTTATGACAGAGTTGTTCTCATTGTGTACAAATACCACATTTCCCTTATCTATTCATCTATTGATGGGCATACATTCTGTTTTCAAGATCTACCTATTATAAATGTGCTGCTATAAAAATGAGTACGCATTTGTCCTTGCAAGATGACGATTTTAACTCTTTGGGAAAGATAACTAGAAACAGGATACCTGGGACAAAGGAAATTTCTGTTAGTTTTGTTGAGGAATCTTCGTAATGATTTTCATAGTGGTTGTACTAGTTTACATTCCCACTGCCCATGCAGAAGAGTTCCTTTTCCCCCACATTCTCAGCAGCATTTGTTATTATTATAATAGTCATTCTTTCTGGAGTAAGACAGCATCTCAATACACTTTTAATTTGCACTTCTCCAAGGGTCAGTGATGTTGAAATTTTTTTCATGCATTTGTTGGCTTTTTTGTGCTTCTTTGATAAAATATCTATTTATTTTGGTTGCCCACTTTTGTACTGAATCTTTTATTGGGGGGTCTAATTTTTTTGAATTCTTCATATATTCTAAATGTTAGTCCCCTTTCCAAGGAATAACTGGAAAAATTTTCCCTATTCTTTAGATTGTCTCTTCACTCTGTTGGTTGTTTCCTTTGCTATGCAAAAGCTTTCTAATTTGATATGATCATACTTGTTAATTCTACGTATTATTTCTTGTGCCATTGGGGCCCTGTTCATAATGTTTTGCCTACATACATGTTTTCAAGTGTTGTACCTATTTTATCTTCCAGAAAATTAACTGTTTCTGTTTTAACATTTAGATCTTTGGTTCATTTTTATTTTAGTTTGATACATGATGAGAGATATGAGTCTAGACTCAATCTTCTGTATGTGGATATTCAATTTTCTCAGCACCATTTATTAAAGAGGCTGTCTTTCCTCCAGTGGATGTTTTTGTCAAAGATTAAATTGCTGTGTGGACCTGGGGTTTTCTGCTTCTTCTATTCTGTTCCATTTATCCACATGCCTGTTTTTTTGCTTGTGCCATGCTGTTTTAATCACTGTTTATACTATAACTTCAAGTCAGGGACTGTGATACTATCTCCTTTGCTTTTGTTTCACAGGATCGTGTTTGCTATTTTGGGTTTCTTCTGGTTCCATATAAACTTCATGGTTGTTTTCTCTAGATATGTGTGAAATTCCATTGGCATCTTTATTTAGATTACATTAAATCTGCATATACATTTTGAAAGTATAGCCATTTTGGTTGCATTGGTTCAGCAGATATATAGAAGATATCTTTCCATTTTCTGAATTTCTCCTCAGTTTCCTTTTGCAGAGTGATACATTTTTTAGTGTAGAGGTCTTTGACTTTCTTGGTTAGGTTAACATCTACATAATTATTTTTGATGCTATTGTGAATGTTTTATTTTCCCAATTTCTTTTTCAATGAGTACAATATTAGTGTATAGGAATGCCATTGATTTTTGTCTGTTTAGTTTGTATCCTGCTACAGTACTGAATTTGGTTATTAGTTCCAGGAGTCTTTTGGTGGCAGTTTTGGATCTTGTAAATGAATGTCTTCCGCAAATAATAATATTTTGATTTCATCTTTTTTCTATATGAATTCTTTGTATGTTTTTCTTTTGCCTTATTGTTCTGGCTAGTGTTTCAGGCGCTGTGTT